AGTCTGGGGCGTAAAACGAGAACTCTCTCTGTATTTCTCCCTTCTTCCAGTACTCTGCCCCTAACACATTAGAAATATTAACGCAAATCCTCCAAGCGATCCAAGGTCCGGTATGCCTTATCTCTGTATAGGAGTGGAGCAACAGGCCCGCGCGATGCTCTCTCGCCGCCTCGCTCTTCCTTGGTCTTCCTTGCAGGAATTTCCTGCTCCTTCTGTTATTAGCGTGCGAAATACAGCGCCTGACGCACGGGCTAGAAACGCTGTCTGTATTATGCTTTTCACCGTCCTGCCCACTTGTGTCGGGCCAGGTGTGTCCTCTCTTCGCTGCAGATTTGGAGAGGCAGGAGCACACCCGCGCGTCTGCAGGGGTGGTGTGTTTTTTGCAGCCTCTCTGCTGTGGGAGGAAGGTCTTCTCGATCGGGAGCTTCTGCGTGGTAGGGGTAGATTTTTGCTGTGGCTTGTTGACTTCCCTGAGGCAACTCCCAGCTTCTCTGTGCCGGGGCAGTCAGCGAAATATGCATATCAAGTCTGACATATTTAACTGAGAAAACAAGACCCCCCGCCCAGGCAGCGCAATTGTTACAATGTGAGAGCTTTCTGGCTTCGTTTCTTCTTTGCCGAATGTGCCACATTCGAGCAGCTTGAGGAAACCCTGGGGCTAAGCTTCGACGTCCAATTTTTAACTTTCAGCGCCGTGAAGTCTTCGTTTTGTAACCGTCACGATTTCTTTCAAAATATTGTTAGATTCAAATTAACTCAGGGAAGGTCATCTGCTAAGTTGCTAAAACACCCTTCACTTCAAGCGAGGGCGATCTCGGGCTTGCAGAGACACACATCATGCCTTATTTTCTCTTTCCAGGTCCCATGTTTACTGACACTACCTTCATGAGACGAGCTACGGATGCGCCACGGGCCCGTGCACAGACATGCACAGCATCTTACGTGGTTTTCAGAAGGTATTTACAAAAGCCGCGATCGCAGCAGGAAGCTTTACTTCCCCGCTGTCCCAGCCGGTCTTGCTAGGAAGAGTCAGGGATCGGGCTTAGCGCTGTGAGTCCTATTTAGCTTAAGTTAAAATCAAATTGGGAGCAGCTAGGTCGGGCCCGGGAGAGCCCCCAGCCTCTCCCATCCCCTTTGGGCGGAGAGCCCAGCTTTCCACCGCCCCTTCGGGAGTGCGGGCGGGGGACTTGAGGGGAGGAGTGCACAGAAAGCCCAGACACAGTCCTGTCACAGCACGAAGGGTTTATTGGGTCATCCGGGGAGGAGGTTTTCCTTCACATTTATGTATTCACAGTCTACGGAAACTATTTCTTCAGAGTGTCTCGTCTGAGAGGGGCGCGGGGAGGGGCGCAAAATTTCGAGGGCAAGCTCGTGTGGACATGTGCAAAGAATATAATGTGAAAAATACGTATTGCGTTTGTCCTCAGTGCATCCAAGTGGGGGAAGCCATACAAAGTAT